AAAAAAAAAAGGTTCTTAGTGTGTATACCGCCTTTGTAGTCAAGCTATGAGTGTCAAAGGAAGTGAAGCCTGTCAAATTATCACTTTTGTGTGTTATTCGTCTTTTCCGGTTTTACTATTTTGGTCGTTTTCGTCACTCGGAAAGAGGTATCAAATCACTGAGGTTTGAAGTGACGTTTGTTAAGATCCTGCACTCATTCCTGTTTTGTTGATGGATTTGACCTTTTCTGCTTTTGCCTGGACGGACCTGTCGGACCTGGACGATCCTTTACGTATCCTTTGGACTGAGCGTTTGCTATTAAAGTAAGTCTGGCCACAGTATGGCCACACCAGAGCTGATAGAGGTGGACAGTGTGGTAGACATCATATATAAATTGTGTGGCTTTATATTACGAGAAAGGTGCCAGTGGTAATGCGTTTCTTCGGAAAGAAAAATTTAGTGTAAAATGGGGTTGACAGGCCTACACGACTCCCCAGCGCGTGTTTAAAATAGCCTTTTTATAGTTTGGCTCTCACGAGTATGTCTTTGAGCGACCGCTCTCTTTTATAAGATACTAGGAGCGGTTTTTTTTATAGATTTCGCTCAGTAATGGTTGTTGTTCTATTAAATGCCAGTTTTTCATGAGAATTTGCTTTAGGTTAGGCACTGATGGTTGGTATTGTGTGACAAAAGGCAAGATTCGTTGGTTTGTCTTTGGTTTCTGTTGAAGGGCTAGTTTCCTGTCTTTGAAGTTCACCTCTGAGAGGGTTGTGTTAATAAGATCCTCTGGGTAACCCCTCTGTAGCAGATGCGCTTTGAAATTAGTAATTTTCTCTTCAAACATTATTTAGGAAGAGTTTGTTCTGTGGAGTCGGAGGGCTTCCCCTTTAATGAAGCCTTTTTTAACTCCTTGCCGGTGACAGGAACCAAAATGGGTATACTGAAATTTCTCAGTTGGTTTGAAATGAGTACGCGCATCAAGGATTGCGTCTCTTTAGAATCTTTCCCCTTTGTAGATGTAGGTGTCCAGGAATGTTGTTTCCTGTCTCTGTTTGTAGTCCAGAGCGAGAAGATGTCGTCTATGTAACGTTTCCAAACGAGCGGTTTAAAAAGGCTTTGTCCTAAATTCCATGTAAACAATTGACAGAATTGGCTTCATCGTCTGATGGAAACTGGCAGCAAAGCAGTCGAATCTTCGTAAGACAGACAGATAACATCAATCTATCTAATTCCAAAAATACTGGACTTAAAGTATCGAGGTAAACATGTACCGATGCGAGGACGAAAAAATAATTAAGCAAAACACAAAATAAAGTAATGGTTGCTAATTGTGATGTTGAGAACTTGGACCATCAAAACTGACAATTGTTAGAAGGTAAGTCATAACGCCTATTTCAATGATCAAGCAAAAAATGTCTAAAATCAGGAGCCCATCCTGCTAAAATCTAGTAAAAAAATGAGGCGGGATCGGGATCCGGGCGTAAAAAGAGGCGGGATGGAGGGATTGAGAAGAAAAAAAGGCGGGAAAGCGGGATTTGAGAACCCCTATTGTGGACCCTCACATTACGTAACTTGCGCTTTATTGTTGTTGATATTTGGTTATTGCGGTCACAAACGTTCACACTGACTAATGCCGGAGAATGGAATAATCACTGATAATAATCCTTACTCGACGTATTTATCAGTGATTTATACACGAAACGATACTTCCTTTTGCGGATCACAAAGACTATGCTGAGTTTAAACTCTATCGGATTAAAAACGGCCAAGATATAGTTTAGATTTTAAGAATTTATTTGATTACTGCACCTAGCAGCAGAACTACTTTTCTTTTATTCATAGTGACGCTCCAAAAAGCAATTTTTTGTGTTGATTTTATAAACTATATTCCTTCCCAAAACTCCTTTCACTAATCCACAGAATAAAGTGATCAAAATCATTAAAAAATAACAGTTTATCTGAGTCACCTGTCACTTTCTATTTTTTTTTTTTGTAACACGACTATAATTATTGACAGTAACAATGTTAAGTGTAATCATTCCTGTATTCACTAGCTAGAAATGTAAACGAACTCACCTTTATTTTAAGCAAACCAATACCTACACCCAGAGAGAAAGGCACAATAACTAATAAAAATTCTACATCTGAAGACTAAATTTTTGGCTCTTGACCCCACTATGTTTTTAAAATACTCATTTTACTGTCTTACCTGCTGGCGTTTTGTCAATTCTCTTCATTCTACACATTCTATCACGTCAACGCAAATGAAGCAGTTAAAGGGCTCACGGATGAGTAAGATCTCGTGATCTGAAATTCAATCTATGTTTGGCACAAATAGCTGAAAACACGAGAAGTAACAGAAAGTTTGATTTAAAATATTCATTTTTGATTTGGAAAAAGCATGTCTGCAATTATATCAGCAGTATTAAAAGGTACAATTGGCTTGATGGTGAAAAAAGGAAGAGATGTAGCGGCGGAGAAGATGAAAGACGGCGACTTAACTGATCAGAAACTTCGTGGCCTGATTGTAAGTGAATTGAACGATATCAAGGGCAAGTTAGATGCATTATCACAAAAGGATCTCAAGGCAGCTGTAGACTTTTTTGGAACAGGACTCGAGAATTTAAATGGTGCAGTCGTTGCAATGCGCAGTGCTAATGTTAGTGTCGAAGCGGGTAAAGTATCTGAAAGTAATGAACAAGAGGACTCTCACGAACTAGCTTTGCTTTCAGATACTGACCCTGGGAAGACAATTGCCGTCGCCGCTGGAATGAGAAACATGCAACTGACTGAGTTGGATGAAACAACGAAAAGACTGCTTTCAGACGCACAAGAGAAATTCAGACTGGCTGTTGAATACACAACACACGCCTTCAACAATGAAGTCCTCAGCACCTTTGATCGAGTCACAGCTATTCGATATCGTGTTATGGCGGCAATGTTAAAGTCAGCAACTGAGACAACAAGAACCACGGGCGACTTGAAAAGCGCTTTAATGAGTGCATTACCAGAGTGTGAACGTTGCCTGGGGATTCTTAATTCGTTACCTGCTGTTCAGAACAGCTTTAAAGTGGAGCTCAGTAAAGGTCTCCTAAACATCAGAGGTCAATTTGGAAAAGATGAAAGGATGCAGATAATTTCCACTGTGTGTCAGGTAAATCGCGCCATCTATGATGCCATGCGAACGGTTGGTAAAGACGTACATGTCTTGGTGTGGCCATATGTTGACATCGGAGAAGATCAAGTTGACCCTCTGCGCGATGTAAGAGTGTTACAAATGTTGGAGAAATCAGAGAAAGTTGACATGGAGCAGTACCGCATTACACCAGGGTTGTCGTTTGATCTGAAATTAGGTCATTATGGGAATATCCTACGAACGAACACCCTGGGACAGTTTCTGATTGGACGTATGTGGGAGACAACCGTACATGTTTACGATAAAAATGGTACGTTTCAGTTTAGTTTTAATCCCCAAACTGATGATGCTAACTGGACAAAGATTGAAATAACTGATTTCGTTACTGAAGACGTTAGCGAGAAGATCTATTTACTGATCGGACTGCACAATGAAGGATGCACATTGGCGTTATTTGAAGTGCAGGTTTTAAACAAAACTGCTGACTTACAGTACAAGTTTCCTGTGAGATACGGGGAAAGACTGATAGTTAGCGGCAGCAAACTAGTAATATTGAGAGAATGGAAGGCTCATGTGTACAATCAGAATGGTGAGTTTGATCATAGTTTTGAGTTTTTCAGGAGTGGAGACGACATGATGATGATGTTAGCTGATTGCACTGCTACTTACGACGGCCGCATCTTGATAAGGCACGGTAAAGGAAACTTCAGCGATTACTTCTGTGTTCATGTATTCACAATGGAGGGACAGGAGATTGCAAAATTCAGATCTGGCGTCGGATTAAACTTAAACAAAATGTACTTTTCACCTCGCTCTGCAGGTGAACATGTTGTCATCGCTGGTTGCAATTTTGAGGATGGGATCATGACAGTGGAGTTATACACTGTAGATGGAAAACTTGTGCGAAGAATTCTGTTGCGTGAGGAACCTAAACTTTATTTTAAAGCAATTACGGTGACCTTGGAGGGACACATTCCTGTGTGTTTTTATCTTGATAATAGCAATAAAAAGGTAGTTGTCTTCAAAAATTAAAAGACGCGGCTTTTTGGCTTGACGAATATTGCGAGGAATTTCATACAAAACAACTGAGTTAAAGCACTAACAAGCTTTTTCTTTTCAAAAAAATTATATCTCTATATATTTTATGAAATCTGTTTAAGCACAGGTTAACACTGTTAATTATTACTTTCGTAATTGTTAAAAAAAAAACTTAATACTGTTGTTTAAGTTTCGTCCCGGCAAAAAAGTACAAAACCAAAGACGTTTTAATCTCTAGAAGCCTTTAAAATTTCAAACGATACAATATTATTTTATTCATCCGCTGGAATTTTTGCTTAGAAAAGAATTGGAAAATGGCCCGTCTATCAAAATCCGTTGAGCAAATCAAGCATTTAAAGAGATTTTTTTTTAAGCCGACAAAATCCTTTTTTCCTTGACAACTACCCTTGGTTGGCTCATCCGATTTCGCGAACAGGAACAATTATTATTCCTGTAAGTGAGGTTAACTTTCTGGTTATACGAAAAATTTCGCGTGTCTCAGCTGTAAACAAAGTCGCAAAATCGAAAAATTAGTGATTACCGGTAAAAAATTTTCCAATTGTTTGCAAACGCCAAAGTCTATTTTTCGTCATAGTGCAAACAGGGGCCCAATACTCGCTCTAAGATGAAAAACTTAAGCGCTTAGGTTGTTCATTGAACTGCGACGATCACATCCGCTTTCATATCCGGATGAAGCCGGATGTGAACTTAAATGTGTTTTTAAAAAATATACAGCTGTACCTAAATGTTGGTCAGATTAATTTGTATAATGAATCACTTCCAGTAAGCTTGACTTTGTTTCTTGGGAAAACAAGAAAAATCGTGGATGAGACCGTCGTGACTACCTACGCCCTAAGGCTTAGCATTCTTAAACAACCATTTTCACGCCTAGCCGAGGTTGTTTACAATAGGTGAAACATTTTGAGCTCGGAGGTATGATTTCCATGCTCTGCTATATTAACACCATGATCATTTGGTATACTCAAGTTTTCTTGGGGAAAGATACCTCGTAAAGTTAATTCAGCAGACTCCTGCTTGAAAGGACTAATTTTGAGCTACAACCGCTTTTAAAAAAAATGCGCCCTTTTCTGATTGGCGCAAAGGCCAACTGGTGCTTACCATATTTGGATGATCCGAGCAATATACCATCGATTTGATGGTACATTTCTTTGAAAACGAGGTTGATCGATGGTACATTTGATTGGAAACGAGGCTGCATGGGAAATAGACCATCGATCAAACTCGCTTCCACGCGCGGCCGACTGGCTATTATTCACGAGTGAACTAAAAAATGGCGTTCACGGCTATCCGAAGATGAAGTAGCTGAATTTCTAACTAAAACTGCACGGGATAAATGCAAAAATACGCAAAATATATCTCTTGTGGATAACGTCCTCCTCGATCTGCAGAATTCTTTACATCCTACTCAGCCTCATTCAATAATTGCTAAATATGTAACAACCAAACACTCTAAAATAGCTCTGGTGTGTTGTCTCGCCTTAGCTCGCTGGCAATTGAATAACGAAGTAATTTTCTGTTTCCCCCAGTTTGATTTTCTCTCTAATATTGCATTTTCTATGTGATGTGTAATCAGTTCAATAAGTGTATTCTTTCTTACAAAACTAACGTTTGAGGTTTATAATACTAAACAAAGTTCATATACAAAGAACGGCTGCGCAGCTATACCTGTAGATGATAGAATGTGCTTAGTATAAGCAAAAAATCAGATCGGAGGTGAATAACGTGCATATAATATCTTGATATTTCGTGAAGAGTTGATTTAATGTAAGACAAGAGCTCTTCGCTCGCATTTGAATTAGTGATGTAAAATTTACTTTAGAATCTTAATGATCCTTAGCAATGTTTTTTGTTAACAGCAGATAACAGCAAACCTGTAAAATTATAGGCAAATGTAGTGATTTTTGTAAAAAAGAAATTAATAATAATGACAATACAGAGTAACAGGAACTTTAACACGTTCATTCTAAGCCCCAATTTTTGTAATTACCCATTTTTGTGCAATTTCTCCTGTATTCATTATTTAGTTATGTTGATTTTTTTGTTGCAATCAAAGGAGTACTGTACCTTACCTTTCTTGTAAACAGACCAATTCCTCCGTTTGAAGAGGCAACGAAGATTTAATTTCTCTGTTACTAGGATTGCCGTTGCCTACATACCTGCACGACATACCAGAAAATAACGAGAAGGACGTGATTTGCACAGTACAGTGGGGTCCACACACGTCCAAGTTCTGTATTTTTGTTTTAGCTGTGAGCTACATTAAGAAACAATTGAGGTGCTGATGGCCCGGCTGCCTTTTTCTATACGAGTCAACCTCAGCCAGTAGATGCACCTTAGTTTTTTTCTTTCGTTAACCCTTACGAAGTTAGCCTGAATGGTCTGAATATTCGCCGTCTCCTCGAGTCGCACTACCGTAAGGCGGGATGTTACTAAAAGAAGGAACGGGGAACGGGGAATAAGAAAATGAAAAATGAGAATAAATCCTAACCTAACTTTAGGGGCTTTAGAAGGACTCATAAAACGAAGGGGCTTATATCCGAGGGGCTTATAATCGAATTTTTTTTTGTTTACAGGTAGACGAGCCTATAAATTTTTGGCAGGTAGGGCGAGGGGGGGTTTATAAGCAGGGGCTTATAAGTTGGATTTTAAAGTTTATATCTCACCTGATAGAAGAACTATCGTGCGTTACACCGAGTAATTCACATATTATCGTTCTTATGACACCTTTTTTTTTCACTCCCTAGTTTCCAAATTTTCAAAGTTACCGTAAAGTCGTAACAGTACTATCATATTGAAATAAATTTTGTATTTTTTGGATGAACCGTTAAAAATTAAGGTTTCATTTGAATCAGATCACGCATAGGATCAAAAAGTCACACGTGCACAGTACATATAATATATAATAGCATTTAGAAGTGGAATCGTTGAAAAGGTAACTTATTACGTTCTAGAATAAATAGTTTCTTAAAACGATGTTACTTGTCACATAATTTGTAGAAAACGCGCAATGAATTTAATTGCTATAACTGTGGCGAAACATGTCGCGTTCACATGAAAGTAGACAGTGTGCGGGTCACGGAAAAAGCAAGCAAAAGTAACCGCCTTCGCACGCGCGCAAACTTTAAATAGATTTCAAATAATTATCATGGGGTACAGGGATTTGCTCTTTTAGCTCATTCTTGATAAGTATCGGGGCGCAGGTGATGATACATAAATTTTCCCTATTTCTAGTTGTCAGTTTTTATAAGGAGCAGTCAGTTTTTTAATAAAACCTTTTGTTTTGAAGCAAATGACAGGTTGATGACGGAGCCAAAACGACATCTCGTGTTTTGTGTTTTTAGAGGCCGAGCTAGACCGGTGAATATCATGATAAAAGATTCGAAGATATCGTGGAATTTGAGCAGGTAGCTGTAATTCTCTTTCTGATATATAATACCGGTTTGGATTGTAAATTGCTTGGAGGCCCTTGCAAACAGGATAACCGACACCTGCTTGCAGGTGAGGGTTGTGTTTGTTCATTTGGCCGCATTAAAGCTTGGGACAAGTATTAAGACTGAACACACAAGAGAATGTGAGAAAAAATTAGCGAAAGATTGAGTTATAACGTGTACAATGATTAACTGAGATGGCTAGCACTACAGCTATCGTAATATGCAGTATTGCCGCATTTGAGTCACTCCTCATTCTAACTGCCAACACCTTCACTGTATACATTTTTCTGGTCTCATCGAAACAAACTAAAACGCACTTCGTTTTTGCTAATTAACTTGGCTGTAGCGGATTTGCTCATCGGCTTTACAGAACCAGTAGCGATCGGAACAGTCGGAATACCACAGCGATTTGGCCAAGAATTCTACGGGAATGTTTCAACCGCATTTCAAGCAATGTTCGCTACCACTTCTGTCGTCTGCCTCGTTCTCATTTCCTTGGAACGAGCGTTTGCATTGATTTGCCCATTTCGACATCGAGTGATAAGCACTCGAGCTTACATCTACAGTATCATTTTTGTGTGGTTTTCAGGAATAACTGTGGGTGCATTCACTTTGCTCGCTGTATATGGAATAGTGGATTTTATCCATTGGATAGTAGTCTATTGCTGTATTTTAGCTTCGTGTTTGCTGACCATATGTGTTACTTATTTGATAGTCAGAAGAAAGGTTAACACTTGTCGACTGGATCCTACAATGGTTAAAAATCACAGCGAAAACGGACCTGATGGTGAGAAACATAGCACTAAATTTTCGAGGACTCTGTTTATTATGATAGCTGTATCTCTTGGTTTTTGGCTTCAAAGCACCGTAATTTTTTCTGTTCACAGCTTATGCCATAGATGTGTCCCAATACCTCTTATCTACGCTTCTACAGTATTACACCTGGCCAATTCTCTCGTTAATCCTGTAATATACAGTTTTAGAATGCCGATTTTTAGAGAAGCCGTAGGTAAATTAAAACTGAAAAAACAGTCAAAGAAGTACGAAATTAGCGGTCACTCTTGAAATTTTATTATCTTTTATAATTATTTTAGATTTTCGTAAATGAATAATAAGAAAATGCCGGTCATGATAGTACGTTTACTTAAAGAACAAAAGAGTTTGCCTTGAATTTGTTCAATTTTACATCATTTTTACCTCCACTTCCACTTTATTATCAATAAAACTGGAGTTTCTTTGTGCCTTGAAAGCTGAAGAGGATTTAAAATCTTAATCATAAACTCAATTTGTTCTTATAAGTTTTCCAGAATCAGTTAACTTTGTTCGCATTGATTTACTTTCTTCTAATGTAGTGGGCTCATAAAACCGAGGCGGGAAAGACAATCTTTATGTCGTTGGAGACTAGATCGCACATAATAACATTGCATAGCATAAATAAGATAAGGAACAAAAAATTGTGTTTTGGCCGCTGCGCAGTACATTTTAAGGACTTTCGGCTTCTCATTGGTGATTATTTTGCTTGTCCATTTTTATTTCCCCATGGAAATTTCGCCATTCGCTCTCCAAGTTAGAGTAATACCTAGGAACACGTTTTCACCAAAGCAGATGGGCTCCTGACCAAAGCAAAGAATTCTAATACATTTTTAGTCGTTTCTTAATGTCCCCCATTTACAAACGGCGAACTTGTACAGAACGTATATTCCATGCAAATATTGTCTCGATAAGTTTGAGTTACCCTTAAATTTCAAGGGTTTTCATTTCCGCCAAAAAGTAAAGACAGGAAAAAGGATATTTAGTAATAGCTGGTTGGTGGAAATAGTAAGTAAGGTTCTATTCATCTCAAAAAGGTAATTTCTTCAAGTTTTTCACTATTAACCAAGCCGAGCTCATATTTTTTAAAAGAATCAAACTTTTGAACTAAAAATGGTGCCAAGAAGTACCCCAGTCATTTCTACGTTAACAATGACAATGATAGCAAAATAAAAGCCAAACGTCAAGTTGAAAGTCTGAAAACGTTTTCGATCGTGAAGCACCAAGAGCTCAGTGCTAATAAAAATGACAATTTACACTGGTGGAACTTGACCACGCCCAAAGCCAAGGAGGTATTGTTTTATAAGACGATCGTTCTTAAAACAGAGTAAGTGACACACGTACACCACCCCATGGCTGATGATATACGGCTTTGTTGGTTTAAAGGCCTGACTGCTATACAATGCTGATCCCTAATAAGAGCAAAACAGCTGTCCATGGCTGCCACTGCCCGGGTGATATTTCAATGCGCATGCGTGAGGTACTTGTTAGGCCGTGTGCCCCCTTTTCTTGCTTTTAAAGGTGATGTTACACAAGACGACTCGCAATCACAATATTTAGTGCAACAGAGAGTTGCAGCATTGTTGCGACATTGTCTCAAATACTCGAGGTACGAGATTGCGCTGTGTAGCGCTAAAAATCGTCGTCCCGTGCAACAGGTTACATTACCTTTATGAGTATTTTCAGGAGCCCATAGCTCAGAGCGAGCAACTCCCATACCAGGCCTCTGTCACCGCGTTTTTACGGCCCAGTTTATTTTTAGACATATTTTTGGGCACTTTTTCGCGCTCCTGGGTTATGGGCTCCTGGTATTTCTAAAATTTACTAAATTTTACTATTTATTAACTTAGTGGTTAACTGCGCTCTTGTCAGCGCCATTTTTAACATTTCAGTTGGAACTTCGTTGCAGAGCTACCGTAAACTTAAAGGCATCATTTTTTGCCCGTCCCCCAGTTATAAGCCTCGAAGTCAGATCATCATTCGTTTGTGGGAAACTGACCATGTTAGCTGACCTAAGAGAAAATGACAGAATGATTTTTTCATAATTCCGAAGTAAACTGCAGGCAGGTGTTGTGGTAAAGAGTACTTTTTCAGCCCTCCGTACACAACCTAACTTGAGCCTAAAATCTCGAAGACCTTGCAAAATCTTGGAGGTCACGATTTTTTTTTAAAGAAATAATTAATGACAGTATAGAGTAACAGGAACTATAGTACGTTGAATTCTTTAAAGCCTAAAAAAAAATTTGTAATTGGCAATTTTTGTATATTCTAGAGGGTTAAACGAAATAAAGATTTAGTATTTTTACTCTTACAAGGCGGATTGGAGTTTCCTTTTCAATTTATGTGAAATAAGAAGGATGCGATTTGCGTAGTAACTAACTGTAGTTACATTTTGGGAGAGGACCATCAGTTATCAATTGTTCAAGACAAGTTTGACAAGACAAAACTTCAAGACAAGTTTGAGGTCTTTTATCATTCCGAAATTTTTAAGGAAAGCAGCGTTGATCGCATTACCTAAAGACCAAGTTAACCCATTCGCCCCTGAACCGCCCGTAACCGCCCGTGCGGATCCAGGTCCTTTCTACCCTTTGTGACGTCATCAGTTTTAACGGTCAAGGACAACTTTCTTGCTAACTTGTGCAGAGTGAAGAGATCTTTCAAACCATACTAGAATGAGCACAATTCAGTCAAGGACACCGGAGAAACAAGCACAAAACCACGAGACATTGACCTGAAAATCTCCATGAAAATCTTGTTCCATTACCCACCTACCTTTCCTTTCACCTAATCCTAAGATCCTAAAAGCTTTCCTAAAAACTCTTCCCACCAAATTGAAGCCTACTAAATGCCCAGCAAGAGAAAAAAAAAATGAGGCAAGAAAAGCGAAAAAAGAAGGGAGGAGAGAAAGCGAAAAGTAAAAGTCAAGACTGCTGTGTCGCTTTTAAACCCGAAAACTGTCGAAATTTTGCTTTCTGCGCATGCCCGAACTTCGCAAGCTGATATTTTGCATCTGGATCAGAAGGCCGCGAAGTGTACGACCTGTAAACCGGTTTGTGGTAAGTTTTAACCCTTTATAGCACGACAGTGACCAGAAAACCACTCGACTAGCTTCAAAACGCGTTTTTCGGCAAAATCTCCAGGTGCGAATGGGTTAAAGGAAGCAACAAGTTGATTTATCACTTTATTTGAAAAGGAAATGATAAAAACAAACGATCTGCACTTATAAATGATATTAATGATGGTGGTTGGAAAATGTTAGATATTCATTCAATGATTTGCGCACAGAGAGTAATGGTATTAAAAAAAAAAACGGAGAAGAGGAAAAACATAGCTCCTGGAAAATAACCCTGGATTATTTCCTGTCTGAGGTAGGGGATAAGTTCATACTACATTTTAATTTCGATACAAGAAAACTTCAAATTTACCTTCCGGCTTTATAAAGAATGTCTTGATGCCCAGTCTCGGCTAAATAAACAAAATATTCTTTCATGCGAGGACGTCGCGAACCAAGTAATTTGGAGCAATTAACGCATTATCATCAAGAAGCATTTGGTTTTTGAAAAGCATCTCTTGGCGGAGGAAGGCTTTCTAACTGTAGGCGATCTTTTCTTTAGAAGGGTTAACAGGGACCTCTCTCCGATTGACCGTCTTAAGTTAACGGGTCTTATGGACGCGGTACATGTTGAATGAGAAAACGTGTTAAACAAAGTGCTCATTACATGAGTCCTGTGAATTGAGGAACACGGTCCACCTTAAAATTGATAACACTGATGTCGATCTGTCTTCGGTCACATCGAAATCTCTTTACAATGCATTCAAAATGGCGCTCAAGTAGATTAAGGCCTGGGTCTCAGTAATTTATGGGTTTTTAGTACATTTTCCAAAAACTAGTGTTAAAGACATCCAAGATATATGGTAAAGTAAAGTAAACTTAACCAAATCTTGAAAAAAGAAATCCAAATTAGTTGGTCACGTGATGGACCACGCCCTCTATTGCTCGCAAATTGTAACCAGCGATTACCACCACTTGCCAAACGAGTAGCTCCAGTTTGTCTGTATCAAAACATTGACCCTACAAAGTGTCTACGAAATCAGCTCGGAATGGTTCGAAGCGTTACAATCATTGACTAGTGTCAGTCTTCCTCTAACTAATATTTTGGACAGGAGAAAGACCTTTATTGCCCTCGCCTCATTCCGATCTTTTTACGAGAAGACTATTAGTGGCCACTTTTTGGACCTACTATGCCTTCTATCTGGTGGGAATTTCGACTTAATGGGTTTCTCGAATATAAGATTCCCACAACATTGTTATTTAAAATTAAGATTATTGATTCGCCACAATGTATCTTTTGCAAAAACGAGATTGAAATCCTTGAGCATCTTTTTTACAATTGCGAAATAACAAGATCCTTTTGGGTAGCTCTCCTTTCTTGGTTTATATAATGTAATATCAATTTAGAACCTTTGTCGGTTGTTAATGTTTTATTTGGTATATTCAATGCAGGGGAAGATTTTGTCATTGTAAATCACGTTATTCTAGTGGCAAAGTTTTGCTGTAAATTAAATGGTGTTAAACCAGCAATGCGGGTTTCAAAAACAAAAATCGGAGCAATACACAATATAGAAAAGCATTTATGCGCCTGAATAAGGTAGAATTCCATGACGAAAAAATGGGAAAAAAATCAAATGTTCTCTTAATTGAGTCTACCCCCTCCTTCTTTCTGTCTGTCATTGTTCAGTTTATTTATTTATCTCAGATATTGAGTATAAATATTGATTGAATTATTTTTTCAGGATAAAGTGTGGCGAAACTCTTTTCTATGTAAAGTTGTAACGCTAGTATCACTTTGTAATTTTTATGTACCCTTAATTCTTTATTAAGTCCCCCGGGGGGCTTATTCATTTCAAGCCCATTTGAGGGGAGGGGGGGTGGGGGCTTAATAGAGACGGGAGGGTTATTTGTGAGTGGGGGCTTATTTAATTTAGAAAGGACGATGGTATCAGTTCTCCATAAAGAAGTAGAATACAGAGTGGAAAAGCTCAAGTACAAGAAGTTTTAGGTCATGCAGCTGAGGATCAGAATCAAATCCGATCTTCCAGTTGGTAAATAAACCATCCCGGATCTGTCAACATGAAGTTTTACAGTTGTGATTGATTAATAGAGTCTATAATTTATTTTTGAAGAATAATTAGGAGAGGGGAGGGGGGGCTTATTAACTTTCTTCCCCTGAAAAGGGGGGCTTATTAGAGGAAGGGGGCTTATTTGAGAGGGGGGGCTTAATAGAGGATTTACATAATGTTGTGAAGTCATTATTAAAATCATTTTTGTTTAAACAAAAAAAGAAAAAGAAAAAAAACATATAACTTTGAGGAAAGAAAGAATAAGCTTCTTCTGGCTTGGTTACGGAAAAACCTTCAAACTGACTTATATGGAGCTATCTTTTGAAGAATTAAGATACTGAATAAGAGAAGACATCTCATTATATAACCAATTAATGTGTCACCCTAGTAGTAATGTATGTATGATTTTGTGGTTGTGTGTAAAATCGATTGACCTGCACCCATCAAAACCTCTTATTTCATTAGTCCCTATAACCTGCACTACTTATTGTTTTCAGGGATAGGGGCATTGTTATATTTGTAAAATAGCTAGTTCTTTGGAGTGACAGTTGCAACTACAGAATTACCAGTTGCAATAGCCAGCACTGTAGCTATTAGTAATATGCATTATTGCCACATTAAAGAGTCACTCCTCCTTTTCATTGCAAATTGTAAATAGCACAATTATAAATCTCCCTTATTTTTTAATTTATGTTTTTTTTGCCTTGTTGTTATTGTTTTGTACACACCATAACACGTAATATTAGCGCGCGCTAGCAGAGCACCAACCATGGATAAGGAAATCTACCTATCCCAGAAAATTAGCTAATCACATGATCGTTCATGATCGTACACCAGGGCGGATAAAGGTTGAGCGGTGAAACGAGCGCGTCCTGGCAAAAAGGTGTGATGTAGTGCACTGGGACTCG